AAAATAAAAATTTAATTATTAAAATTTTTAGTAAGTGTATCATATCCATTTGAAAAGTCTACACATATGCCTCAAAATATTAGTAAAAAAATTAGACTAAATCTCTCTCTTCTTTTATTCTTTTCATTCGCTTTCTCTTTCAGTAGCAGAATCCTTCTTCTACAGTTAAAGTTGTGAACACCAATTGACCTACGAAATCAAACAAAGTGAATTTACATTTTTTTTTTCTAATCAAAACTAATGTAAATCTCTATTCATGATCAAAATTAATTTCTCATTTGATTTTTATCGAAATAAATGGTGAAATTTCTGATTATCGCAAGAAGAAAATGTCCAGCCAACACAAATCACTAAGATAACATCAAGACAAATATTTACCAAAAACAACATCAAGACAAATAGAAAATCAGATTAACATTCTTTGAGAATCAATCATCTAAGGAAAAACAAAAATCAAATCGAGAAACCTTGAAACTGTTATAACAGGCAAATTGCAGCATTCGGTCTCATTTTGGGTTCTCTCGCCGGTGGCAAAACAAGAAATTTCAGATTTTTTATACCGGTAGACGGTAGAGAACGAGAGATCTCCAGGTTGTCCATCGGCGAGAACCAAGAGATCTCCGGGTTCTCGTACCGGTAGAGAACCTAGAGGTCACATAGAGCTTTGTGCTAGCCTGGAGAAGCCACCGTCATTTGGGTCTTTGCCACACGGTGGAATCCTTATAGAAGGATAACGAACGGAGAGAAAACAATACAGTAGAAAATAGGGAAAGCCTAAGGAAGAAGATGAACAATCGATAAATTTGTAATTATGTATTTTGTAACAAATTTTTTTTTATCGATTTGTAACAAGGTTTTTATTTAATTTTATGATAACATGATTTAATTTTTATGGGTTGGACCAACGAGAATGCTTACATGGTATTCTATTATTATTTTATTTTATTTTATTTATATATTTTTAAAAAAATTGTTTGTAATGAAACAAAGGGATAAATATGACATTTTACGAACAAATATCAAAAACATGTAAACCTTGGATATACTAATGAGAACTTTATTTAGAGCATTTTCACAGAATAAGAACGAATTTCGGGCTCTTTCACTGAATTCAAATGAAAATTCTGACGGATTCATCGTAAAGTAATATTCACCTTCTGTATCGGCCGACCTGATGGTAAATGGCTGACCTAAACCCCTCGAAATATAGAGTTCGAACCTGGCTGGTGATGACGTTTATCCCATCATTGTACGTTTCCTTTAGGAAAATAAAATATATGGCATTCCCCTACGTGACCCGTGTAGCCCCGCTGCTCAGCAGCAAAGTGGAATGCACATTTTTGTTTGGAAGTCGAATATTTCTAGCGTAGAATATGCTGAAGACCAAGTCAAATAAGATTGTTAGTGGAGTCCTAATAAAGTGGAGTTGTTGGAATATACTAGATTTTTTATCTGATATGAAGCCACGTTTTTAGTAGAGAGTTACAACAAACTCTGTTATTTTGCTGTCTATAAATAAGGAGAATGACCAGTTGCACTGTGTGTCAAATTCTCATCTTTTCATCATATTCTCTTGTTATAGTTGTTCTGCTTTCAATATTCAGCAATAAAAGTCATTTCAGTTTCCAGTCACTATACTTCTCATTCTTCAATTTGCTGTCATTTAGTTCCTCTCTTGCTATATGCATAAACACCATTTTACACTTGATCCATTTTTAATTTATCATTTTGGTATCAGAGTTGTGGTTGTAGAAGGCTTTGTTTGTGCTAATCATTATGGCAGGAAAAGGTGGTGGTACAAAATTTTAGATTCCACGTTTTGATGGATCAAATTTTGCACTATGGAAATTGAAGATGCATGCAGTACTCGTGAAGGATGGTTGTGCAGTTGCTCTCTTGCCAAGAGAAGAGAAACCCGAAGGAATGACGGATAAGCAATTCTTTGAGAAGGACGAGATGGCCTTGGCAAATTTGCAGCTGGCGCTGGACGACAATGTTCTGTTCAATGTAGAGACAGAGTCAACTGCAAAAGGGCTTTGGGAAAAGCTTAAGAATATTTATGAAGGCAAGTCGCTGGCAAACAAGATTTTTCTAAGGCGGCAGCTTTACAACTTGAAGATGAAAGATGGAGGGTCAGTACAAGAGCACCTCAATG